TGGTTTGTAAAATTCTCCCGCATCCGCCATATTCCCCAGACCTTGCTCCCATAGACTACCATTTCTTTAAACATCTCGACGCTTTCTCAAGGAAAAATGCTTCAAAACCCAACATGATGCTGCCGCGGCATTCGACGATTTCATCGCCTCTAGATTTCCGGACTTCTATGCGAATGGGATACTCGAACTTGTTTTCCGTTAACAAAAGTGTGTCGATAGTAATGGTTGTTATTTCGATTGATGAAGTTTCGTTCAAGCCGATATATATGCATTTGAAGTTTGAGGCGCAAAACCGCAAGAAGTTTCTCCACGACCTAATAGAATCACAGGGAGCAACATGACCAACATCCTCTTGGGAAGAAAGACAGCTCTTGATAGCAAATCAGTAACTACCAGTCATATCCTTAGAGTACTACGCAGATTCAAAAATAAGACTTGCATTTCATTATTTAAAATTGGCAAATATATAGTAATGTAAAGCCAAATCCATCGGCACCCCGATCGTTCCCTTGCGAGATGCATGCATGCATTCGTCTTCCATCCGAATTGAAGGGCTCAATTGTTTACATTTTGGCCTATTCATTGAATTGCGGCAATCGTGTGATGTGTATTGAAAGTTTTTACTTTCCTTACGAATCCAGTAACAGTTACTCGTCAACTTAGGGGCTATCATGGAACTAGGATTCGATCCAGAGCTTCTTTACTCGCGATGGCGGCACTGCTCTACACTGTTGCACTCTCCTTGGCAGCAATGTAAATGGATGAAGAATGGATTTTTATTCATCAGAAGATGCTTTAACTCTTTAATATCAAGGCAAAACTCAGTTTTTGGCCCACTTTTCCTCTGTTGCTCTTCACGTACCTACGTGAGCAATAGTCAAGAACGCTCTCCACATGATTTTCTCGTTTATTAGTGTCATTCGTTCAAATGGGAACAGTATCCATCGCTTGAAAGGCAATCATGACATTGGTGACGGCATGTCTTTACATACATGAGGAGCTCAGAGGAAAACTCGTCCGTTCTACGTGTATCTGGGCATTGCTCGTACCTCCGCTAACGTTTGTTCGACTTTTTCAAGGAAACGATCCTTTGGTCGAGATGTTACCTGCAAAAGAGAGAGCCGAATTGAAGGGTCGCTGTTGTTTTTATTTTCCTTTACTGAGATTCAGTATGTGCGACAGAGAAGTAGCCCGTAACAATATGTTAGAAAGCTGACCTGCACGAAATTCGATCCAACAATCCGGGAATCCTGCGACCTAACGTACGGGTGATCTCTGTAGAGATAAGGCGAAAGGGGAGAGCTGAAAAGAAGCGATTTCGTTTTAGGAAGGCAGAGTTAGTATAAACCTTGCCATCAAACCTTATTCAGAGGCACATGCCGAAACAACAGGTTGTTGACAACCGTTCTGCAGTTGTATCCAGGGAATGACAGGGGATGTACGAGCCGCAGGGGGAGCTCGCTCATACATATCAATCAAAGGGCAACAGCCAAATCCGAATAATGAAGGGCTCACTATCACGTACCCATAGTCGTAGACAGATACTCGCTCAGGCCTACCAAGCATGCTATCCTTACAGGATCGGTTATTCGGTATCAGGCTCCTCTGATAGGATCAACAGCACTGGATTGTACATCAGCTGGACACCCAAAATCTTTATATAGGCCACATACGAAATCAAACGGCCACTGTGGTTTTGAAGGGAAGCCGAATGCGAGGGCGCATTCAGAGGAATTCAACCTCTCTTGGAGTGAGGCCAGATTGAGACCAGCAAGAGGCTTCATACAGATATAGGCCAACTGTGATCCTTTGTAAACAACATCAAGGTACCGAACTTATTACAAGGGGAACAGACCAATCCGTACTGAGCATGTAATCAAGGTTCTGGACTATTCTACAAGTGATTCCGCTTCAATTCATAGAAAACATAATCTGAGGCAAACACAAAGGAATTCTAATCTGTTATAAACATAAAATAATCTAATTTCCACACTAGATAATCAGACAGAACTCAATGGTTCTAAATAGCTGAAAGTTATTTGGGAAGCGGTTGATGTAACTCTAGCAACACCTCTATAAAACTTACTACATGAAGCCGTCATAAGCATATTGATGCTCATCAGCTCTGAAGACAACAAGAAATCGGGAACCACCTGATGGATAGACTTTTCTAGACTACAACAAGACATTCTGTAAGAAGTTTCCAAAATGGAGTGGGCAGCTGTCATTGCCTTCCGGTCTTTCGGTGTGATACGGGAACAATCTATTCTATGTAGTAAGTTGAAGGGAGTTAGGCATTCAGTGGATGTTAAAGGAGCATTTTAGAATGTAACCTCCAATCGATTTTTGAATTGACATGACAGTTGCCCCAGCGATTTTTGAACAACATCGGGGCAAGCATGCGATTACACATGTTGTCGAGAACATCCCTACTGATGTACGTCCGATAGCAATTACTAATTACCCCAATTCATCAAGTCATCAACCTCAGACTTCACAAGTTGAAATCCATGGACATGCAAAGGGAGGGCAGGGTCCCGAGGGCCAAGTTCTTCCTACTGAAAATTTCACGACCATCTCGTCAAAATCTGACTGTTTGGACCATTGTTTCTCTCACTTTTTGAATTCTACATTTGGGTTTTTCCTAGCCTTCGCTAAGGCCCTTCGCTACGGTATGGTCCTTCTGACGCCGCACGCATTGCAGGGCTGTCCCCAGTCATTGTCACTGCAATTTCTAGGAATCAAACCTGTCAAAGTTCTTGTAATCGATGAGGGTCTTGTGATTGTTCTTGGCGTACTCCTCATCTTCTCTTTCGCGATAGGATGAGTATAAGCCATTACTCTAAAGAGCAGCAGAGTTATTACTTCGAGGTTTCTTATGAGGCACCATTGAGCACTATGCAGGAGAAAAGCCAACAAAAATTAAAGAGAAAATTGTGTTACAATACCGGAAGTCGATCGCCTCGCCGTTCTGCTCCATGTGATATGGCAAAGTATTCGCTTGACTGTTTCGGCATGTAGACAGGGAATTGACGATAAAGAGCATGCTGAACAAGGCGTTCGTCGAATTTGAAGGGAAAATTGGCCAAGGGGCTCATTAGGAAAGGCTCACCTCCGGACTTTTCATTCCAAGCTCCGAGTACAGCGCTTCTAGGGGAGTCTTAAGGAATAAATTGCTTTCATCAAACGAATCTAAGGAATCGTCAATGGCGTAACGTCCCAGAGATCGTTCCATATTTAACATTTTAGTCGCAGAAACACCATGATCAGCTGCCAGTTGTGAACTATCCTGAATGGGAAGTCTGACACTAAATGATTGCTCAGCTTGTCAAAGAGTAGTTCATCTCACCTTTTTAAGCCTATTCATCGGATGGAATATGTTTTTGACATAGCTCTCATAGCTTTGTGTCACTGGCCCACCATAGAAGGTATCCTCTTTGAGCGACGATGATTGCTCTCTGGTCAATGGAACACGATCTCTCAATCCAAGATACTCGGACATGCCGAGCTGCAATTCTTGAAAAGTCAAGGAGAGTTTTAAGGCGAGAAAGTAGAGGAATACTGCGGACCCGAGTTCACTAGTGTGTCAATAAGTCCGGGTATTCCATTTCTATCACAAGAACGTCGCGTGAAAAAGAGGAAATGAATTTATAGGGTAGGGAAGGAAGAAAATGTTTCAGCTCATTTCTAGATCAGTTTCAAGTTGCTCAGTGTAAATCTAGTTCGGAATTTTTGTTCCATCTCAAGGCTCGTGTTACTCCAGCACTACTCCGTACTCCAGCAAGTGTTCTCTGGATGAAGGTGATGTAGTGGGAAGTTCCCTTGCTATCATACCGATGATAATTTCCTGATTAATCATACGAAAGCTGATTTCCTGATTAGAGCCGGGTTCAGGCCAGACATCAGCATTTCTTTGGAGTTATGAAGGTATACCAAGATTACTTTGGAGGAAAGAAACGTTCAATATGCATGACCCTGGCGCTAATTTTTTGGACCAAGCCCGGTGAGAACTTGTGAAATGGTCCGACTACATGCTAGTAGGAAGGCGCTTACGTGGTACTTTTCAAAAAACTGATTGGTAAACTTAAAGACCGTCACTGCTCCTTTTTTCTGATGAGAGTGGAAAAAATAGGGGAAGCTGATCAGGTATTCGATCGAATATTACTCATGTTTTTAGAAAGTAAAGTCAGTCTTTGCACGAAAATGATCTTTTCCCGAAAAATTCGAATGAAATTCGAGAGGATCGTGTAGAAAGATGTCTCAGGCAATTTCAATCTCCAACTCGACTCGACTTTAATTGATTCATGGACATAGTCCTCAGGCCTCGAAGTTTAAAAAACTGTCTAATCCAACAATATCAATCTAATAATGGGAAAAAGTTCCTTCATGGGAACTTTCACGTCGCAAAATAATTTGTAAATGAAGGGAGGCTTGAATTTGAAGATGGGACCATGTAGTTTTGAGAGTACCACTAGGGAGGAAAAGGAAGTCGGTTCGGGTGAATTGAAGGAGAGCAATAAGAAAAACTACGAAAAGAGGGGGGACCTTGGAGAAAGCCACTGCTATGTTGCTAGGAGCTGGCCGGGCTCGTAGCAATCTGAACTTGGATTGTTACAGTGCAGAGAAACTTCGCGACAACTTCTGGAAAGCTTTGAAGCATTGTTGTTGTTGTTGATTCTCTGTTGTTGACCCCTCACAGCAAAGCAACCAGCATAGCAAACATATCTACTAGCCCTTTACCTATTCTTAATCAAATAACCTAACATAAAGATCGCGAGAGTAATGAACGGTTCCAAGTAGAACTCATTTAGCAAGTGGAAATGCCACTTTACGAAGGCTTTCAAGATTTTCGAGAGGTTCGGGAATAAAGAACAAACAAAACAAAAAGGCCTCAAAGTTTCTGCAGCAAAGTTTACTTGAATTCCAGTTTTATCTGGCAATTTTTACACTTTCATCGATTGTTCAGCTGTGAAAATGCAGATAATGAATGAAAGGGATAGACAAAGGTACAGTAGGTCTTGTGAGAAACAAAAACAAAACGAGGATCATTTTCTTGATCTCAGGGCTGCTACTTCGTCTTAAGAGAGCAGGAGCTTTTTATTATGGCCGACCTGTCACCACCATCGACGAGTGATTTCTCAGAAAATCCAATCGATTAGACTTTTTATAACGTAGCAAGAAGACATCAGAAAGGTCTAGAAATCGTTTGGTGAGGCTTTGGCAAATATTGGATCAAGCAACAGTAGGAGGATAAGTTCTAATTGAAGACTGCATGGCCCGTCGAAAGTGCCTCTTCATTTAAATTACAAAGACATTCTCCATCTTCTTTAGGCTTACGAGATCATGGTTTTTTCGAGGGTGAATATAGGGGAATTTAAAATTGTGGACTGCGAATCCCTTCTGATAAGAGTATCTTCGGAAGCAAGAAGTTTGAATGTAGTACTGATGGATCCCTTCGAGACAAGCAGAATGGGACTTCATCAAGCCCTGAGTTAAAGTTAAGCCTTACGATCAGTCCTTACCCCTTTCCCACCTCTTTTTTCTGCTTCCCTTCGAGAAGTAATATTTTAATCAAACACGAAGTGGCAGAGAGACTTAAAGAGAAGACTAGAGTTAAAAGTGTTGAATACTGGGTCGTCTCGAATTCACGACCCTCCCTTTTCAGTTGTACCAGTTGCCTCTTCCTACAGAGCTTTCCCTATACACGGTCGGATAAAGAAAATTATTGGCATTGATTGATTGAACTATTGATTGAACTTATTGAAGAGGCTGCTAAGGAGCATATTTTGGGTGAGAAACGAGAATATGAGTCCGGGATTATGCAACTATGCGAAGGAGAATATGAACGGACATGACATGACTAGGGTAGGTGAAAAATGAGATGAAAGACAGCCAAGTTGGTGCCGAGTTGGGGAGAAGATAATGTTGTGAATGTGCTTAAGAGCCAGCAGAGGCAGTTGTTCTCCTACCTCGAGCGTTACACCCGGGTCGGTCGCGTCCGCCCATTGAGCGGTGTAACGCCATCGTTTTCAGGTGGTGCTGACGTTCAATTTCACGTTTTATGCGCTATGGAGCGTCGAATCCATTTTTTTTTTTTTGGCCACGATCAAAGTAAACAGAACACAACTAATTCCTTAGAGCAGCTTTTATCCTCTCCACTTGAAGGTACTGACTGGCTGCTAACCCGGAGGGTTTTTCACAAGGGAAGGGCACAGCTTTTCTGGTAGTTTTACCCATTCTTTTACCAACACTCTTCTGTTTTCGGAAACGAATTTACAGTAGCAGCCGAAAGCCTTCGGTGAAATGCTTCGACGCTTTTTCGTTCATAACTTTTTGCTTACAATTAGGAAACCAAATGGCGCGAAATTTGGATATGTTTAACAAGAGCATATTTCATCCTACCCAACACTATTTGACTGCAAAGCTGCAATGTCCACAGATGGAGCAAGGTGTTTCTTGCGGTAGCAGATTTTGCTAGAAGTAAAGTTTCTGACGTCTGCACTTATTCGCACCTTATGTGCGTTTTTCTCATCTATTGTTTTCGGCATTATCGCTCGTACACTTTAGACATGGCAAAAAGGAAAGAGATTCTAAAAGGGCCATCATCTGTATTTTAAGTCGATTTTGAGTTCTCTTTGGAATATCTGTAACATGATCAGACTGCAGCTTAATAGTGTTAGATATTCATAACATTGCAACGCTCCAAATTTAGAAATTTCGCGTGGTTAGATCCAATAGGAAAGAAGTTACAACTGAAATGTACGGCTGAGGAACCATTTCACCGAAGACTCTTGGGCGCCAAGGTATTTCTAGACAGACTGGTCCGACTGGGGCTATCTATCAAACCCCATTTGCTGGCTACGAGGTTGTTCTGGAAAATAATAACGATAACAAATACACCAGCACTCTGCAAATTTTTGCAGCAATTGCAGCTTCTCAGAGTTTTTCACGTTCCGAGATTGGGGAGCGGCGAACCTCATGGGAAACTTCTTCAGTGACGGCATTTTTCGGCTATTTTTAATGAAGATAGTAGGGAAGCTATTGTTACACCCAAAAACATTTACTCGGAGAGAAAACACCACATACATATATAATGTATTCTGAGCGAAAGTCCAATGTCGGGGCGCATACCAGACACATGGCTGTACTATTGCCCAAAAGTTTACCCTCACAACGAGTATTTCATAGCAAGGTGAGAGAGGAAAGGGGTTTGCAATTAACAGCAATGTATCTTGGTCTGTTCGAATGTCTAGAACTTTCACTCAGAAAACAATACTACAGCCAAAGTACCTACTTTTTCTTTAAAAGGAAGCCCTTCCTCTGATCTAGCTTCGGTTTTTCTCAGAAAACAACATAGGAACTTAAACCGTTTTGATGTAAGTGAAATATACTAAAAAGAAGATGCATCAGAGCTTCAAAGCTGAGAACCTCGGAATGATTGAATATACATGTATCTTGTTCTTGTTGTAAAGTTTATAAGCTTAGTGATCGCTTGAATCTTCAAACCAGTCATGAGTCTTAGAAAAACTTCGTTGTCGTCATAAGCATGACGACCAGACAAGCTTGACATCAAAGGAATCAGCTAGGCAAAGCCTAATAGTCACGAAAGATCGGACGTGGAGATCGTACTGAAGAAGAATGCCCGTAGAAGTCAAGTTTGAGTATTAATTAGGTAATCAGTTCTAGTTCGAGTTAAGCCTTGGTGGAGGTGTTGTGACGGCTATGTAGTATATGTAAACATACAAATAAACATAATACCACATATATAAAATATTGGCAAGTCTCAGATTCGCTCCCAGAAAAACTTGAATTTGAAGAAGTACCACCCGTGCAATGATTTTTTGGTACGAATCCATTTTTCCAGAATGGTTCATTTTTAGGATACAGAACAACAATGGGAACTCATTGGCAGTCGGACCTACAAATGGCACGGATCAGAAGCTTTGCGCTGCAAACATTGGGATAAAGTAGCAGTCAGGTACATACTTTGTCATGGCTAGAGCTCTCTCCCGTCTGCCGCAATCCTGCTATACCAATCATAAATGTAATTTGAGGAAAGATCCTACTTCACTATATGAGACTAGTTTTCAGATGGCATCTTTCCACATGTGGATGGCGACATGGACGTCGGTCTTGTAACGGTGGCACAAATGCCGATTTGGCTCGAGACCCTCAAAATTATGGTGAGCTGCCACGATGGCGCAATGCCTTCACGTACGCTCAATTACCGAACCCCGATCATGTAAGTACTTATCTCGTTTTTTATTACTTTATTGTGAAGTTCCAGACTCCAGATGGCCTATAAAGCTGATACTGAGTCCAGATGAGAAAATATGAGCGTGAAAAACGAGACTTGAGCTGGCAGGGATTTCTCGTTGCAATGCATGGATTTGGCCGACTCTCTATTTAATTTTTATTTAATTTTCGAGTATTATGGCAATTCCTTAATTATGACGTCAGCCCTAAAACTTTGCTATAGAAATCAGCAATCTAGGGCTCTTAACAGTCAGAATAACGACGCGGTCTTGTGCTTAGTCCTGGGTGTTTTGCAGGAGAGAGTGTAAAGCAGAGGCGACAGCACAATTTGCATCAACGAAGATGAGAACAGTGCTTTGAAAAAGAAGGGTTGAAAAATTTTGTTTGGTGAACCCGTCTCTCTTCGGTGAACACCCACTTGCAAGGTAAATCGTGTTGGGCAACCGCGGTACATTCCGAAAACCAGATGCCGTACCGATTTCTGTCAGGGTTACCCAAGCTTTCTACCCTTGTAAGATAGTACCAGAGTCATTTCTGAGGGCAAAGCAGTTTGTTCACGTTGGCTAGCTCCAACCATTTGGTGTCCGTGCCGAACGCGAATTCAATCGCCAATACCTTCCTGATAGGAAGTCTAATGCTTGGGAACACCTGGAATACCACCAACTTAACAATTCAACCTTTGTTTATGTTTAGAATTCTGTGGAAGATATGAAATCGTCTCTTTCAGAAAGATCATCATTTGCGGTTGGCTCTGGAGGGCTACGATAAGAAGATGGTGGAAGTGAAAATGATTTCTCCATTGAAGATCGATGTCGATTGGAAATGGACGATCGGAGAGGACGGATGCAACAACTTCAGTGTACGGTAAGTTGATCTGCCTTTTTTCAGTTAATCATTTCCAAGTGGCTTTCTGTTGGAAGAAATCGCGAAATTCTTCGAAGGTCTCACGCGATTTTACTAAATATTTGACAGAAATAATAAAAAATATTTGGACGGTAACTTGTAGTAGGTCTCGTACCGGTATTTCATAGCTAGGGAATCAATTTGAAGACTAGATTCCTATGCTTCATTTCGTTATGCTTTACTTCCGTTTCTATCACCCTCCCATCTTTCCTTAAAATCTCACATTTAGCTAATCGTCGGTGTCAATCATTAATTCGGTGTCATGAATAAATCTAAAGGTCCGAGAAGGTTCTCCTGTGTCATCAACCTAATAATCTGGTCACGTTTGAGTTGATTTCCAAAATTCTCCACTACTCATGGATGCTATGCCATACCGTATATCATGTGGTGTCTGGGTCAAAAAACTCCCTGATACGGTACAAAAAGGACTCAAAGGACTGCTTCGTCGACGAGCACACCCAAAGGCGGACGTGTTTCCACACGCTGTAGGAATTACCTTCGTTCTCTCAACGGAGCGCACATGTTGAGACTTTAAAAAAGTGGTCGTCAACCATGGCGGCTGCAAAAAGAAATTTTTAACATTTTCATTATAGTCAGCCCTTTACGCAACTGCACACGACTGAAATCTTGTCCAAACACTTTTCATGCCCTTCTCGTATAGCTTACTATTTTGAATTTTCTCAAGAAACCTCATTTGGGGATTCCCTGGTTTTTTCTTTCGATTACGCCCTATACCTCACTGACACGTTTTTTAACTCGAAAAGGGTTCCATAGAATCATTGTAAACTGTGCTTTTAGAAACTGGAGATTTATGGGCTTATTTCACACTAGTGCCGGAAGCATTTATGGGCTTTTCTAATTTCCAGGACTTTCTTACAAGCTGTTCATTCAGATTTTTTTAAATAAGTGTTTCATAAGTGTTTCAGTATGTCAGCAATGAGCACGATCGACGATCATAGACTAGAGGATCTGGCCGATTTCTGTCGCTCCTTCGACACTGATGGCTTCGTGTTTTGCGACAACTTGTGATAGGCTGTCATACATTACTGCCTTCCATTTTGATCTAGTCATAGTAATGTTTATACTTATACATATGTAGCTTACAAATTTGAGATCAAATGTACATTTTTGAAAAGAAATCGTGCTTTAGACCATCATCATCATTATTAATTGTCCCGAACGAATGCCCGGTCGGGTACTCCTGAGTTTTCACTTTCCTCACACATGTTTTCCTCCCATTGAAATTGCCTAAAGCTTCTGATCGGGGTCTTTTAACGCCTTTTTGTTTACTTTGAGCATAACATAACATGTTGGTCATCCACGTTATTCACAAGTGCTCTTTGTAATGTTTCATATCTATGGCCACCGATGTAGATGATCATGACACCTGTTTTGTATGTCTTTTTTATTGTTTATGATGTGAGTCAATCGAATCATAAAGGATTATATTAATAAATATCGATTGATTACTTGAAATAACATGACCGAGAGAGATGGCTACCGTAAAGATGGGAAGCGTTTTGAGAAGTGGAAATTCTCCACCAGACTTTTCTAGTTGCTCTTTCGGAAGCTGTCTTCGAACCTTGTCAAGAAAATTCGCTCCTTCTACTTTCGTTGTTGTTCTTAATAGAAGCGGATGCTGAATAACGCTGAAATCAAGAAAGATCTGGGCACTTAAGAATCGCGACACACTGCACTATATATTTACGAGAATTCGACGATGGACAGATTAAGATCATGCCCAATTCTGCTTGTCTGCAGCTCCTGGATTAGACGGCACCCCTTTGTGTTAGGATGACAAATTTCATTGGAACAATTCTATCAATTATGAGACAGTTACCAGAAACTCGATAACTGATAGTCATCCAAATCTGCTAACAAGTCAGTTTAGCGCGGTCGTCTAAACGACCGGTTGTCTCTGGAGGTGGGTTGAATGTGTTTAGGGTTATCAGCTTATTTGGAAACACTAGCTTAGGGAATCGTTTTCAAAATTTCATTGCTGTATGAGCGATAAGATAGCGATATTCTTCAAGTTTCCAGACTGAAGTATTCGGTAAGGCCGAAACGTAGGTTGACAAGAGCTTATTTACGATCTTGGCAGCAGGTTTTGTAAAAAAAAGTCTTATGTAGTTCGTCCAAATGTCGGTCCAAACTAAGCATCACCAAATTATATGTTCCAAACTAAGTAAGTGTGTAATATTTTTGTATCAATCCATATAATATTCCTTTTCCATTTCCTATTCTCTATTTTTTAATACAATAGTCTTTATATCAGCTTTCATTTGAAACAATTTTGCTTTTTATTCCAAAGGTCGCTCCATTTGAGTAAGTTGTAAAAATTTCCAAAAATTAATATTCATGTCATCATCATCCTTTATCATCTCTCAACAACTAGACTAGTATGCATGTTTATATGAACCAATATAATATTCTTTTTCAATTTCTTATTCTCTATTTTCCAATACAGCTATCGCCTTCAAATACTTTTCACATTATATATCAGGGATCGCTGTATTTATTTTTTGATTACAAAACTGCTTATATTGCGCTGATCCATGGCGCTTGTTATCGAAGAAACAACGAGAGTCGTCATTTCTTGATGTACTTCAGATTATTCTCAATATTACATTGTTCAAATACCCTTTTATTACTCCTTATTCTCTTAGCAGAGAACCTTTTTTCCTCACTTTTTCACAAGAGAGTTTGTTATACCTTTATAATTGATACTATCACACTACCATTTTTTTCTTACCGGTTAGTTTATTCTTTCTGGCAGCCCTACCGAGGCCACGCTCCCGCGCTTTGATCTGCTCGTGACCCCACATCGATAAGGACGCCCATATACATATAAACTCTCTCGACGCTAGAATTGGCATGTCTTTTGATTCTGTTCGGGCTGCTCTCCTCTGGGACAGGATTCAACCCCACCACTCTCCCCCTCCCCCCCCCCCCCATTGTCGCTTATCTTCCGGTTACCTCAGAGTTTTATTCCAGCTCTCTGGCTCCCTACCTGAGTCTTTTTTTGTCGGTGCTTTGTGAAGTCGTCTTAAAAGCCTTCTATATCGCGACAGTGTTTTTGTGCCCTATTTTGTATCGGTTCAGTTGTCTTTTTGTAGCTTTGATAAAAAAATTCGCATAAAATAAAAATATAAATATAAAATATATAAATATAAAATTCTCTACAATTGTATCAGATTTAGTTACATGGCTTATGTTATATATTATTCATACGAATGTTATATAATGCATCAACTTATCTGCTGATTTTATTTGTTCTATTTTTACTGACGTCTGTCAATCTCTATTGAAGTATAAGTATATATGTTAACCCAGCATAACAACGGAATACGGATACGTTTATGGCTTCATCATTGAATGAATGATTGTCTTTACTTAACATTTTTGTGAGGGTGGGTTTGATATTATGTATAGTTACTTATTTCTTACTGGGGCAATCGTTACAAAGTTCACTAGCAGCATTTGTTATTTAGCGTCACTACAGCTGCCTTGTTATACAAAATTGATACTAATTGGTATATTGCAGAAAAGCGAGACTTGGCTATTCGAACAACGACCAAGAGTAACATCAGCTTGAAATTTAAGAGCGCGACTGTCGCCATTTGCTAACAAAGCAAATAAAGATGCTTTTCATGTCAAACAAGGAAAAACTTGCGTTGAAAAAACTAGTATCCAAGTTATCGAAGTGGTAAAGTGCATTCACTTATTCATTTGCCTAACAATAGCCTACAATGTGCAATTACCTTAGGTATGATGTTTAACCATATCCTTCACTGTTAAGTTGGGTACGAGCTGCTGGATACGTAGGATAAACAACCAATTTCGAGGTAACGAATTTCTATCCTTATGTATCTTTTAAAGGTCGGAGGTTGAATGATAATGTATTCAGGCAAAAATATCATCATTGTTTTGGAATCACATTTTATCACGTGCTAGAATATATATAGCCGAGTACAATCGATTGCAAAATTTAGGGTAACTGAATACATAATACACAGTTATGCAATGTTGCACGCTGGTATATTAGCAATTGTAGTTTCAGGCTATATTTGCGCCAAAAAATTCGTAAACTACAGATAGAAAGCGATGAGTATCCTACTGAAATGAATGTGTAAGTGTCTTATTTAACCTTTAGGAATAGGAAGGCTAACGGTATAATGTTAAGTTGTAAACTATTATATATGAACCATCATTCATTATGAGGAGCTCATTCTTTCTGTAAGTTCAGGTCCACATATCTCTCCATACTTTTGGGTTCGGATTACTGAGTGGAACGGTACGTCTATGCGCCAGCTTTTAAGTCAACCGATAGTTATGAGGTCAATAGATGAGGGTATGGTATAACATAAATACCCAGTAGATGTAATAAGACATTATTTATAAAGATTAATAAAGGTTTTTGGGAATGGAGTGATGAGGTGGGGCTTGTTGACATTGATATTCTGTTGGTGTAGTGGTGTTCAGGCCGCAATTTCACGGGATTTAAATGATCAGGCAGTACGCAACGAAACCCAAATGCGCGGGAAATGTAATGGGCTGGGGGCCGTGAGCAAGGAGGTTAGTAGTGGAATACTTACCGTGGCCGAGGAAGGCGGTCGTCCGAGCCCCGCTGGAGTCCCGCCGCCACCGAAGAATGGAGCTGCATACTGCCCCGACCGTGAGTGTTCAGTTTTGGGTGTTCTTTTTTTGTATTGTAGTCGCTTTGATAGCAATTGTCTGAAGTGAGTTTTTTTTGTAGTAAAAAGGATTTAATTGTTTTATTAGCTTCTGTTTAGATTGATCTTCTTGATAAAGAATTTTATCATCAATCGGTGTGCTTTCAATCGAACCACACGTAGTGGTAACTTTCTGGTTTCTTTTTTATTCCAACGATTTGCCAAAAACTAACTATTCTCTAACAATAAAGTGTTGGAAAGAATCCATTACTACAGGTAATTTGAACTGTTTATTAATATAGAATTTGAGTTCACATAATATTTGAATATTTATAGGAGAGTAATGTACAGTCAAGGAAGCGAGCGTCTACTTCGCCTAAGTTGTCAACAAGAGAGCAAAAAATATAACCTTTGAAGCCTAAATAACTCCGGTTACACAGCTGTTTGTAAACTTATTGTTGGAAGTAAAGCATTTTTATTTCTTTTGTCAAGAAAATTGCTAACTTTTGTCGCAGTATGTTTCAATGATTAATTGAGAGAGGAAAATAAAGACTTTTTATACATACTTGTTTTTATTATGCACAAGTAACATACAATGTTTCTTTTCTGATTTATGAGCTATGCACTATGAACAGTTTAACGTCATCAGGCTATGTATGTATAAGACCCCTGTTGCGCTGAAAAGAAAGTAATATTATTTGTGCTAATGGTTCCTTTTAAAAGACCCGTCAAACGGAATGGTAGTTGAGCACATTTCCCGGGTTCCTCTCGTGGAACAATGCTGCTCATCCGAGTTCCAATGAACCATGAAGAACTACACTTCGAAACTAATCGGGAAAAATGATTACGAAAATTTATATTTGAAAAACTATTACCTATCTGGGTTCGTTTCGCTTCCTAGTCATACGAACCAAAGTCTGTCATCACCCGAACCTCGTCAGTGACTGAGTGATGACATAATGGGACGGGTAAAGGTTGGTCTATTGCGCAAAAAAGAGGGGAGTGATGAAGAAGGAATATGTAATCGAATAGCTGAGCAGTAGTGAAGACAAGGAGAAATATAGAACAAATAAATATAAAAATGTATAGTGATGTTACCCTAATATAAAAGGACCTCTAAAACTAAAGGTTCTGGAAAAATGCCTGAAATAATTGACTAAACAGAAATTACTTGAATGGTCTGTACTGCTATAATAGTCGTAATAACGCGAAACTGCATCCCTCTCGTACACCCCGGACTTGCACATGAATATGTATGGTATGAGAACAGAGCACTAACGAAAGCGTCTTGCTTCAAAGGGACCTTCCAAGACCGCGTGGTTCTCTTGTACAACAGCGTAGAAGCTAAGATATCAATATTAATCCCACTGTAAGACAATCCGCGCGCCTTTTCTTATGACTTTCCGCGCACGGGAGTTTTCGGAAAAAGGATGTTCACAAATGCAATCGTTTCTGTTAGCGCATCGAAGGATTCGTAGGGTGATTAGACCTTTTCAATGACAGCATTTTGACCTGGGTTGTGTTCTTGAAGGGTTGTGCGCGAAAATTGCTGCCATGGAAACCGTTCGCCTCCCCCATCTGCTTGAGCCACCTGCCTATTCCAAACATCATCTACTTATTGTGCAAACAACATTTTTATAAGGATATTTCACACTCTTATGTTATCCAAGTTTTCTTTGGCCAGTAGTTTCTCAACACAAGTTTCTTTGGCCAAGAGTTTCTCAATAAAATCTAGAAGGCCAACAAAAAAAGGGAGAACTCGTCAAATATTAGGCTTGTCTTTCCAAAGAGCACTCATGATAAGTTAGTAACTGACTGAAACTTTTTCTCATGTACTGCTGGAATCTCCAGTTTTTCGAAATGAAGCCTTAATCATTCCAGTTGAGAATTTCTCCGTTATTATTTATAGAACTCAATTTTCACGCTCAGCTCGTGAAATCTGCACCATAGAATGAGCTCCTCCAGGAGGCAGGTGAGTGAGCTGGATTGTTTCATACTTGTAAACGGCGGACAACGGAAACCAGTTATAGCCAACAACGAATTATACATTTACTTTTTGGGTGTATACAGATAAACAAAGTTGCAGGAATCTGCAGCGATTCGAATACAGTACTGGTGGAGGAAGCATTTGAAAGCTAAGGAAGAACTTGCAGAGAAAGCCCGAAGGATGTGAGACCCTCTTTGTTCCCATAATATTAACATATTTTAAAGCACTACAGGCGGAATTAAGGAATTTGCGTAGTACCAGTTGTAGTTTATGGATTTATCTTACAGAGCGGAATGGCGAGGTTTACAGGACATCTCACTGCATAATACGGAACTTATTGAGCAATTGAAGGCCATCAGAAGAAGAAAGGTTTGAAAGAAAAAATATGCAGCCATGCTGTTTTGTTTCATTACTTGATGACTAGCGCTCATCTGATTATATTGCAAGGGTTGGCTATTAGGCAGAACGACATGCCTCGCCCTGAGCTTTATGGTTTATAGGTCAAAGTGTCTGCTCTTTTTGCTCTGACGAGGCCCCCTTGGTACATTACTTGTTTTTCACTTGCTTTTTTAACGCTGATCACAGGGAACAGGAGCAGTAATGAGTACTGTACTCTCGAACTCAGGTGTAGGAACTCATCCCCGAAGAGCGAGTGTCGAGTGTCGGAACGCGTAGTGGGATAAGATTTTAAATCCCAGCAAATGGTCATTTGACTGCCATGTGCATCCCTGCGAACGTGGGACTTTGAGTACAAAGTGCTACCACCTTCGAACTCACATTTCTTTACCCAGTACCATTTTCGGTATCCTGTAAGCGCCATGTACAGAAGTTCTGATAGTAGTGGGAAGAATGTAGCGTAAACGAGCGTGTCCTCAGCCTGTTATCTGTGGGGTTTCTGTAGTGCAACGAATGAAACTGAGTAGCAGAGAACCGCTAAAGTCGGGTTCGACTCCATCTCCAAACTCGGCCTTCAAGCAATAACACAGCAGGCTGTTCTGCCTAGGTCATGAGGTAGCAAATGGTGCTTACTATTTTGTTCTTAGCCAATCATCCTGTGAAATGTCGAGTGGAGTCCTTTTTAGGCCTATGACCTTATGAAGTACGAGCACATCCTTCAATTACCAGCACGACAAGTGAAAGAATTTCTGGCAAAGGAACATGCAACACCATCGAAAGTCATGAAAGACGAAAGTGAAGAAATCCTCACGAGAATTGAAGACGAGAAACGAAACAAAGCTGCTGCGGTCATTCAAAGATTGGTAAGCCTGGATGTGGAAATAAATTTTGTAGTAATCCCTAATCGTTTCCAGTTCAAAGCATATCATAGGAAACGGCTAGCTGAAAGATACTTGCGAAGTATAACCGTAATACGGTGAGTTCACGAAAACATACTTTCTCTGCTAAGCTTTTCAAAATCAGTACCGAGTCTGATTTTGAAGAACTCCCTCGTCATTCACTTTTTCCCTTTTCCAAAAAACGAAAATGTGAAAGTGCTAATGGGTCTCGGTTGTGTTACAATCATTAAAGATAAGTTTTTTCCCCTGGTCCTCCGTGTCTGGTGCAACACTTCGTGGGGTTCGGGGTTCTTAGGCGCAAAATCATCCGAATGGTTTGGTATCAACCAAAATCGTTTAGACCACAACGTCGAGTGGAACTCATTGGCATAATCAACGAAAGACTAAATGGCAGAAAAACGCTTCGTAAGGATCATCTGCCGATAATGAAAGAAAAGGTAATTGATAGAAATAGGTCGATTTGAAACACTCATATACTCAAGCGGATCATGTAACGTAATCCATTCTCGGAATGGTTTAATAATTGCGTTCCACGTGACAGCACCCTACTAAGCCAATCCTACTCAATTAAACCGAGTTTGCCTATGAAGTAAACCTGATGGGTTGGGTATGGCATTATTTATAGTAAGCTGTCCTGAGGGGAGGGAAAGGGAGAGAAAGAAGAGGGAGGAAGAGCTTCTAGTTGTAAGAGTACTAGATATGGTTGGTAAGTCCAAGCCTTTGCATCCGTTTTTGACGAGCCAGACCTCAGATAGGCAATCCCATGTGAATTAGGCATCATGGTCTTTTTTCCATTGAGTCGGTTATTCCAACCTGGGTGACTTCCGACAGTGACGGTTTGCATATTTTTCGAATTCTCCTGTTGCTCCTTGCGTTGCTACTGTGAGCATTGCTTCTACCACGAGGATTCTGTGATACGGGTGAGATGTTCGGTCTCAAACGGGACTTGAACCTGGAATTCTGATTCCGGGTATACTGTTAGAAAAGCACGGTTTGTATCGTCCGAAACTGAACGGTTCACCCCTATCTTAGTTCTTTTGCCATAGAATTCGTAAAGGAAAACCGGACAACAAAAAGCTACCCAACAATTTTAACAAACGAACGTGATAACAATTTTATTTGGATTTTTCATTTCAAATGCTAAATTGATTTTTCGAAGTTGATGAGGTAGGTTCCTTTTTTTTCAGCTGGCAGCATATCGAGCAGCTCGAGGACAAGATGCGGAGTCGTTCGCTAAAAGGCAACTAATAATCCAGTCTATGAAAAGGGATATTGCAGTACTGAACAGTGAGTGACCAGTCCTCATCGAACAAAATTCAGAAATTGGGCTTGAGCCTTCAGTGGCGACTTATACGGTTAAGGACTAGGTCGCCTCAAAAATTTGTGCCTATTGCTTAGTATACCATGGCCCTTAGAAAGTGAATAATGCCTTAGCTCCTTTTGGAAAAAGACATATCTCCAAAAGCTCGAAAAACGAGTCTTGGACCCATCTACTTCAATATGTACATAGTTTGAAGAGTGGATGACGAATTTAACGTTTTCTTCAGCAATCAGCCCGAACATGTCCGTCTCGTCAGCACTTCTGAAATGCCTCGGATCAACCAGGCCACTGGCAAAGTACAAAGCTTCGCTGTTTTATGAAGACGAAATGGAGCGAATTGAAGACCGCTTACTGGATTTGTACCTATAATCAGCATGACTACCCTTCCTTTCTCTAACTACTTGCTCACTCCGAATGCCTGTTGAAGTGGCTCTCTTCCCGTTAGCACGAGAAATAGGTCGTTCTGCATCATGTTTTTGTGAATACTTTTCAATAAGGAATAATCTTTCAATCGGATTCTCACGTGCTCATTATATGAGGTCAGCTAAATGTATATAAATGTCTGACTATTCTACTCCTACGATGGTTCCTATTTCAAAAGTCTCTAACTGCAGACCAATATTCGCCAGTATTTAGCGGCTCGAGGCTCCGTTACCACTAACTATCCTACTATATATAACGCGCTAGTCTGTGTGTGTGACAGGAAATGTATAGTTCCTGTTCTCCTGGACCTGGAGCTTTCAAACTTGGTAGGAGCACAGGCAGCGAATGGGAATACATATTTATGGTGGGTAGCACGACCGTACTCTCTCCACCGAGAGCAGAGCTTCGGAAGAAAAAAAAAGAAAAGAAAAACGAAGCCAAAATCCGGTTGATTTTTTGCTGTTAGATCAAGTCCCCCACCCAGCAAGATTAATGTCTCAAGGACTGACCACGGTATTCCTTCGTTTTGATACCATTTGCGACAAAATTTATCCGACAGCCAATAATCTGGCACTCGCAAGTACTGTTATATCCTTGGAGAAAGAAAGATCCATTGATAACGACACCGATAATGGTAATATACCATTCTACAGTATTTCGGTAATTCCATTCAATGATTTGGTTGCTAAGGGCACAGTTCACCATAATTTTGAGGTACCCTTTTTATGTTGAAAAGCGGATGTGGAGGAGTGCATCGGTGGCGAGGAAAGCAATAAAGTCTCCCCCCTCCCNCCCCCCCCCCCCCCCCCCCCCCCCCCCCCCCCCCCCCCCAAAAGCTGCTTTCATAGTCCGCCGGCCGGCGTGCCACGAGGCAGTGCTAGGGGGGAGGAGGGCGGCAGACGGTCAGTCGAGGGGCTGAAAACATAGAAAAACAAGATCAAAAACCAAACAACCAGGGGCTTGTACAAATGATTTTTGTTTTTGTCTCTCCTTGTTTACAGCCCTTCGAAGGCTGACCGACCGTTTGCCGCCCTCTTCCCTCCTAGCACTGCCTCGTGGCACGCCGGCCGCCCGGCGAACTATGAAAGCAGCTGAAGGCTTTTTAAAACCGTGGAAGTGGAGGCTGCACGAGATCACCGCGGTGTATAGACGAGATTTAACTTGCTCCCATCGTGCAAAGTGCTCACTACATCAAACCATAACTGTCCAGAATTTCCTTTCACTGTCGCTGTGAGTCATGACAAGTAGTTTGGACTTCCAACATTGATTCCCTTATGAATGGCAGCCTCTACGAAGCAGCTGAAACTCGTCCGCTGGGAGTGTGGCATTCACACGATACAATTTCTGGTGATGAATAGCGACAGATCGAGGAACATACTGAATACCACATGCTCTGCCCTAGTGTTTGTGTATCGAATTTGTGTTTGGAAGAGTTTTATCTGTTCGAAAGAACCGTATTAGCCAGGCGATCCGACTGGTATTACATAATAATGTATGAAAAGCGGCTGCTCAGATTGGAGGTGGGTTGCGGTAAAACTCAAAATCATGTCTTCATGGCATTAGCTCCAAAAAAATTTATAAAGCCTCACGCGTGACATATCTGGATCTGGACATCTTTTTGCAATACTTCTCAATGTCCCAATTGCTTGGCCCATTTTGGCAGACTTCTTCGGACTCGCAAAAGCAATTCAAAAAAAGCTGCGATTTTTTTGATGTTGTGCAGCGAAAATTCTTAACAACTTTATTGGCCAACGTTTCGGCTCTGTTGCCTTCCTCGGAACCTAATGAGACAAAAATTCACCATAAAATGCTATACATCGTTCTTGTTGTCCTGTCCGTTGTTTTCTCTTCGCATCCTGAGGAAACTTTTGAGGCGGTGTGCTGCTCTTCATGACGGCTTTCTTAGTAGTAAATAGATAGGCGAAACTAGTATGTTTTTACTAGTAGTCTTAGCTAGAGTTCATTTTCCCAAAAGTTGCGGCAGTAATTCACACCTGTCATTGACAATAGCGAGCCGATTGCTTGTCAATTTCTCTCGAGTAAGCTTCAAGTGTCCGCTTGCTGAGCAACTCGAAAAAGGTACCAGTTTGGTTTTGAGTAGCAAGAGCAGAGCAGCAGGTGAAGTGACTGTCCGTGTTTTGGCTGTACGGGGGGGGGGGGGGGGGGGGGGGGGGGGGGAGAGGGGGGAGGGTGTTCAAATTTGAACAGGAATTTTATGCGAGTACTGGAGTAAGCCTCTGCCGCATCGTTGAACCTATAACCTGCTGGTAGTATTCACTTGACCATTTAAATACAAATCACCAGAGGCACTCCCCTAATGGTGTAATTACCTGAAATACTGATAGGCCATATAGACTGCATAGCATGGTCATGCGACACATCAGTGCACCAAAAGGCTCATCGCATTTTCACTCTCCAACCTGGTACCATGAAGTTACATAAGCAACGCGCTGGGAAGGTAGGCATGGAGATACATATTTTTGGAAGCTGCTTAGAATTGAAGTTAGAAATCATGAAATTCTATCCGTTGGGTAACCGACATCATCTACGATAGGTCTGCCTCGAAATGAAACGGGTAATCCACGATTGAATCTAATGGAAACTGAGCATTTTTATGAGCATGTGAAGAACCGGACATATAGAGAATTCAACTGCGGCAATTTTGAGCCGCGTTGTGATGTTTCCAGGAGGGTGGGTCGCTGTGAGAATTCTATCTACTTCCTATACTTGCTGTACCGTCTCATGGATGCCATGTTGAATCTTGGTGAATCCTATTCCTTAGGTGCTTATGAGTAATCGCTCTTTCCATAACTTGCGACGAAGCTAAATTCTCTTGCGTTGTAACTGCCAATAACCTTTATAGTACCGATGTTTGAGAGTTGTCTCAGCATCCGTGAACCAATGTTGTGAGGTCTGGGGTGCAGGTGCTGTGCCGGAACTGCTTACATTATCATAACTCGCAAGTTGTTTTCTGATACTTGCCATATACATCACGAAACGATTGTACTAGATTAATTGAAATTTGCGTGATGTGGTGTATCATAAGGATCGGCTAGGGGAAAGCAGGGTTCCAGAGTCAAAGTAGATAGCGCATCGTTGGCTAAATCGATGTTGCCAAGTACCGTGGCCTTTAACCTGACCTCTCATCTCCACAGTCACCCACTACAGCACTACACCTTAAGATTTGTTTAGTGCATGATCCGCTTCTTTGCTCTTCATCTACCAACCCGTTGAACTTTATTTGTGGTTCTATGTACTTTCGTCCTAGAACGATGGAATCACAAAT